AGCACTGTTATAATAGAAGTGAAAGTCGCATATATAATTGCAATACCTTAATGCAATTATACCTTAATGCATAAAGAAGATGCTAGTCTTCTCCTCGAAGATTTCAGCAACGCGAAATGGGTCATCTATAGTACATTACACAGAGTGTCTGAGATTTTATGGAACCCCCGAAGCAGGGTGATGGAATGCGTACAAGCAAACAAGAGACACGTCGTGACATTTTACTTTTTGGGTGCTACTTCTTAAGTTATATAAGGCCACATAGTTGGAATTTCTAAAAATTTGTTGGAATTTCTGAAGTAAAATTTGTACTTGTTTTTTTGTTCACTTCGGACACCCATCTAATCTCGAACTATAGAGTAGCTTTCTAACTTTGTGACTCAACAGCCATTTTTGAACAAAATTGGACAAATAGATAAGAAACACATTTTAAAAATATTTTTTGTTGATTATTGTAGGTTTCCTCCAACTTATAGGATGTCTTGGTGCCTTAAAATTATCAGAAAAACTACTGAATGCTTACTTGTTGCTTTTGCTACTGTTGTTAATAGGTGATGTGGTTCTAGGAATATTTTGGATGTTCAAGTTTGAAAAAATAATGGAAACGTTCGAACCAATGTTAAGGTTTGTATATTATTTGTTAAATTTTTTATTTTTTAATTTATCACTGGTATTCAAGAATTCTGTAAATGGTTAAATATTTTCAAAATTTTAAAAAATGTACACTTTTTACTCAGTAAAATTAACAAAAATATACTATATACACTTACCGTAATAAGTAAATAAAGCTTTGTTATTAGAAGATGTTTAATTATTGTGCAGTAAAATTTTGAACCTTATAACAAAATTTTCCTTGTTTATTAACGTTTACTTTTGCGTATTAAATTTAATTTTTTACGCCAAAATATATTATGTATTTAATTTTCCGCTTTTTGCACTGATTGTTGTTTTTGTTTCATTAAAAGAACCTCTTTGTGTATCACAATACAATGATAGCAGATTATATCAAATAATTTCTTTTATAACTTTAATAACCTGTGATATTTTTACTTTATAGAAATAGATTAAATACAGATTATGGTAACTCAAACGAATTCACTCATTTGTGGAACCGCTTACAATTAGATGGGAAATGCTGTGGTATACTTGGAGCTCAAGTAAGACTTTATTTTGTTTTTACATGAGTATATATATGTATGTAAGTTCTAGTTTTTATATGCAAGAATTTGAAAACTTTTTATTTCCATGTACAGTTTCTTATATACTTATACTGTTAGCTTTCATTAATTTTTTAAGCAAAAGTTTTGGAAATATGATTTTTGATTTCGGAACTCCGCAACGATTTCTTTTAAAAGATAAGAACACAAAAGATAACTATGTGATAGTCCATTTCAAATTTTTTTTTTTATTTCATCTTACTTTTTGTAACTTCCACAGCGCTATTCGCTTATTGCTCTAGAATAATAGAATCATTTTTAATGATGATCATTCAATTTTTTAAAGAACTTTCCCAATTAAGAAAATCTAATATGGTTAGCACGTAACCGACCGCAATATATATTGTCTATATTAAAAAAAGTATTCAAAAGTAAAAAAAGTATATTGTGTTTTTGAAATCACATAGAGCTATTTTTTTGAAATAATGCTATTTATATATAATATTAATTAAAATAATAATTAAAACTCAAAATCTAATGATTACAAATTTAAATTCTAACTTAAAATCTAATAAAATGTTTATTAACTTTATCGATGTCGAGGATTCTAGACTAAAAAATATAGCAACAAATTTTTTTTATTAGTTTATAACCATTTTTTACCGACCGCGTTGTGTACAATAAGGCAGGTGACTTGATGGAATAAAATTTCGAATATCGATGGAAATGCATTTCTCCATGGTAGGAAAGCGTAAATAAATTATTTTTAGAGAGATGTCAGTCTGTGTGTGCGCGCGTATATCTCAAATTCGGTTAAACCGATTTTGATCAATTTGTAGGTGAGTTCGTTTTGGCTATGTCACGGACTTATCAACTTTGATAAGTCCGTCAACATACCAACATACCAAAATTTTAAGGAAATTGGTTGATTATTATAAATATTCCAACCAATTCTTTTAAAATTTATTATCTAAATGTGGAGTACCAAACCAATTTTTGTTTTGTTTATATCACCATAAGAAATCACCTAAACTCTGAACGGATAAAACTGGTTCTACAGACCAACTATTAACTCTGCGCTAACTTGGTTTTACCGTACAGGAATTAACTACCTTCCTTAAGAAAATTGGTATTTTGTGTTAAATCATAAATAAAAGTTCTTGTTCGTTTAAGTCTTTCTGTCATAACGCCATTAACTAGCAGCCGAGCTGCTTCTATATTTATATGCTGTTATAGACGAGCATTATACTTTGTAGCACGACTCCTAATTTTATATATAAAAAAAGGAAACCGTAAGTCGGATGCCATGAAACCCGTAAGTGCGTTATGTACATACCATGGCGCATTTACCATGCCCCGTTATTTTGTTGATTTTGTTAACGTGAGTCTTCTTGACACAACCCCACTGTTGAATGCCATATAGCCATATTGGTTTAATGATTTGGTTATAAATTAATACTTTATTATCAATTGCCAAATTGATTTGCGACCTAGCAGCCAATAATTTTTTCTATATTTATTTACTAATTCTATGTGTTTCAACTTTATATGCCCTTTCCACCTTAGCTTGACATCTAAAATCACACCTAGGTATTTTGCTGAGTTATGGATTGCTATGTTCATTCCATTTAAGTTAATTTCTGGTGGATTCACTATTTTCCGATTGGTGAAATTTATGTGAATTGTTTTCTATTTGTGGTAGATCACTCGTGTAAAGCAAGTACAACATTGAGCACAATATACTGGCTTGAGGCACATTATATACTGCTTTTATTTCTCCTAGTGTGGAGTATTCAGCGTCTTTTTTAATTTTAAATAATCTATCAGTTAAGTAAGATTCCAAAATTGCTACCAATGGCAGATTTCTTTATTTTCTAAGCTTTTTCCTATAATATTCCTTATTCTATGGACCTGGTCTATTGTAGAATAGTTTCTCCTAAGTCCAAATTGATGGTTTGGTATGAGGCCCCTATTTTCAATTATTGGCTTCAGTTTCCTTAATAGCAGCTTTTTAAAAAGCCTAGACATCATTGTTAACAGTGAAATGGGCCTGTAAGACTTTGTTTCCCTCAAAGATTTCCCGGGTTTGGGCACCATATTTACTTCAGCGACTTCTGAGCACAAGGAACATACTCAAAATCTACAGCTGCATTCATGATTTTCATCAAATGTTCCAATAACTCGTCGGTAGCTCTCTCAGTACTTCCGCGGCCAAAAGATCAAAACCTGGCGATTTCAACTTCAGAGATCGTATCTGTTCCGCAATTTCTATTTGAGTAAGTGGCGCTATGCTGCTTGCTTCATTTGCGATAGATTCTACTAAACTCACATATGATGATATTCCGTTTGGTGTGAATATGCTTTCTAAGTGATCAGCAAAATGTCATTTATCAAAGCAATGAGCATAATAAATTTTTTTAAAATAATCAGGGCTCGGAACTAATGGAATTTCTCGAAATTTGATATTTGAGTTCTGCTAAAAGGCATTGTCATAATCTTCTCTAACACTTTCACTAAACTAGGCAATACACAGTGCGGTGGGTTAACCGCATCAGATTTTTTTTGTTTCCTACTTTAAAAGTTTTTGTGTTAAGCACAATTAGATTCATATCGAAAAATAAATCATGTATGCATGTAAATGAAAGGAAAAATTAAATTCATGGCAATTATTTACATTAAAACGCAAATATAAATTTGTTCCTTACATATTCAACGGTTTTTGCTTTTTTAAGTGGCCAAGCATTTGAAAAAATTTTTATTCAGTTATTTATTAACTCTTTAGTATGAAAAGAGGAGGTTATTTGATAACAAGAAACTACGTATTTTATACATTTATAAAAATATATATTTTATACATAAATATATATGTATAAAATTTCTTTTCAAGCAGTTTCGTTCATGTATTGATATAAAAAACTACATATTATGAATACTTAATTATATTTGGCACCAGCCAAATCATCAGTTCTGCTACCTAGACAACTGATTTCATTAATTTTGGTAAATGGTCTAATTTTTTATTTCATATCCATAATCAGTTTTTCAAAATAACGTACGTGTTTGCACGCAGTGTAAAGGTATAGACATTTTTAATGTTAAATTGAGCATAATGAATCTGATGCTCAATTACATTATAACATTTAAATTCCAAACTTCAAATATTTACCGACCATGTATACAATAAGATAGGTTATGTGATGGCACACAAATTTTACATTTTTGATCATTTTGAAGAAAATAATGAACAGATTTACTTAAAATTTCATACATAAGCTTCATTTGACCGTACGCGGAATCTCCTGGAAGAAATCAGGTGTCAGCAACTGAAATTTTACTACGAGCCAAATGTATAATGGAAATTAATCAACCGATTTCATTGAAATTTAGTTTTTGAATTCGAGGTGTTAAGACAATGAATCTATAAATTTTTTGGAAAAGTCAGGGCTCAAAAACTGATCTGGGTCCGATTTTACATTTTTTGCCATATCTACGGAACGAATTGATGAAATTTCTTGAAATTTAATATTTGAGCTCTAGTTGCTACCGGAAGTTACTGACGTACTTTTCGTATAATTCGGAAAGCACAAAATGAAACTCTACTAAGAGCCAAATTCACATTTTTCCAGGTATGTTAACTAAAATCTTATTAGTGTTCTTAAAATTGTAAAGATGAGTTTGAAACGCATTTTCATAATCATTTGGAATACTTTTTCTAATCTACACAATATACATTGCAGTCGGTTATGTGCTGATCTCACCAGATTTTTGACATTCGAGTTCAAATTTGGAGAACAAAATATGTTGCTTCGAAGTTGCCATCTCATGCTATGTATTTTCTGTTTTGCTCCACAATTGTCACTGGTTTGTTCATTTATTAATTCTTGTCTTGAATATTAAAACTCAAATTGTTTTGTTAATCTTCTTAAAATTTTTTAATTTGTTTACATATCTATATGTTATAAGTAAAATAAAATAAAATTTTTTTTTTCGTAATTAATCTATATCAATACTACAAATTTTTAAATTTGGCATAAAATGGTAAGGAGTTTTAGGTAAATATAGCAAAATTTAATCGGTCAAATATCCTTGCACTGGTTACACGGCGATTGTTGCATCAATGATTATTATATGTTTTATTTCGAGGAATGAAACGTATGTCAATTATTGATGCAAGAGTCATTGTGTTAGTACAACTAATCATGTCTTTTGACGCAACTGACGATATTCAAGATAATGGAATATCTTTTTTCAAAGTATTTCTTTTTATGGTAAATTTCGAGGGGGATTGCAAGGATATTTGACCAGGTCCATGGCGAAACAAATACTTTGCTGTGTAACTACCTATATAAATTACATTTATTTAACCTAGCGGACCCAGGGTCTAATTTATCATTCAACTTCTTATTGACTGGAAGTGTTTTACAAATTCGTTTTGTGGAAATCTCACTAAAACCAGTCAATCAACGTTGCGTCCCTCAAATTCAGTAAAAAGTCGAATGTTGAACACATTTTAACATTTTATCTATAAACCAACGAATGAGTTACTTGGTGGTTTCTATTATTGCGACACTGCGACAGCGAAAATAGCACCAAATTTGAAAATATTTAATCCACCGATTTAAATAAACCTTATTATACAGCTGCAATATACAACATCGACAGTTCCCAATTTCGGGAAACTGAATATTTGTTGTTCCAACACGCGATGGCAGTTTAATAAAACACGTAATTTTGAATTTGGAAATAAGAAGTTCGAAAAAATAAACATTACATTATAATTTCAAAAGAAAAATTAAAAAATAAATACAAACAAATGAGAGAAAATTGAATATTATACAGAGTTGAAATAGATTTTTTTAGATTATTTTTGATTAAATTACTGTCGCGGTTGCTGCTGATGTAAACTGAATTGCGACAACAACATTACCGCGACATCTCGTGCGTCTCTTGGTGTCGCAATGTCATAACAATGTGAAGAGCGAATGGTTCAAAACCGCATTACATTATACATACCAACAACTAAAAATAAAATAAAAAGCCAACAATGGCTTCAGGGCTTTAATGGCATCTCCATTTTTTTGTTTCACAGAGGATTTATTATTATAAGAAAAACTTTGAATCTAAGGCCGTTTCTAAATGTATCGCACTTCCCACTAAAATTTTAGGTAAACGCGCAATTTTCCTTTGAATAGTGTGAAGTATTTTCGGAAGTCGCCGCAATCTGCTTAAACTATCTTTCAATAATTTACACTTTTAAAACATAATTTTAAAGTGGATTATCGCACTTCACACTAAATTGAAAGAATGTTATAAGATATATCATGAAAAAATAATAGATGTTTGCGAAATGAACATCTATTAAAAATATCATATGGTTATAAGATATGTCATGAAAAATAATAGATGTATCGTATGGTTTTATGGCAATAAGGTTTGCCAATAGGTTATCGTATAAATATATGTAAATAATAGAAAAGTGCTATAAAAAAGCGTCATAATTCTCTTGCTACTGAAATTTTGTAATGCTTTAAATAGTGCGTAAAATAGTGCAGCTATGTGGAAAGTGCATATTTGAAATGTTAGAGTAAAGCGTCTGAGAGACACTACACAATATATAAGATGATACTTGCTTTCCTTGAGTTATGTGGATTTCTCGCCGCTTTGTATGACTTAGACTTAGAGTAATATTTTGGGTTTAAGGTATCTGTTACACATCAAATTTAATCTGATAAATGTAGAATAACTGAATCTGTTCTGCAGTCAAAATCTAGCACCAGATAAGATCTGATGAAAAAAATAGAAACATATCCGAAAATTAACAGATTTTATGTTTGATCTTTAAAAATAACATGGCGAAAAAATAATGTTTTTTGAAAATATTAAACCCACTGATAAAGATAGTTTTAAACTGAATGGACGTGTTTTTTTGTAACTGTCCCATAGTCTGTTACAAAAGATATCGCGAATATTTTGAAGACAAGGAAAGCATATTCATTGAAAATATGCATTTACACCCGAAGAATTCCTATCAGTCCCAGAAGTATGTTAACTGAGACATAATTAAATATGTTCATGTGAAACTTCTTCTGAATTCTATAAATGTTGTACGAACTCTGTTCTTGGTTGGCTCTAGATATTAATATTGCTTTTGCTTACAATCGATAAGGCCCAAAATTTTGATTTTGGAACATAAAAGTGTGAAACTTAGAAAAACCATTTGTGAACTCATTTTAGTTATTTTATTTTATTAATTAATTGAAAAGTTTCGAAAAAAGTTATTATTGATGAAACATTTTTATTTTTAAAAAAGAAATCTCCTGACATAACCAAGAAAATCATATGTTTTGACAGCTGCAAGATTTCAAAAGTTTTTAAAACACTAAATTTTACTTTACAAAACTTGAAAAAACTTTAAACATTGAGAAAATGAGAATGAAGAATTTATTTTATTGAATTTAGATATTAATAGAAGGAACTCTACATAGCTGCAAGCCATATGTTCAAAAAGGCAGGCTTTGTTTTTGTTTATATATAGTTCTAAATATTTCCTTTCTATTTCTATTCTTTTCTCCTTACATGTTTTTTCCATCTGAGCTTAACACTCAAAGTCATACCTAGGTATTTCGCTGTGTTTAATACTTTAGCACCATCCAAATTCAATTGTAGCGGATTTACTATTGCAAAGGCATTGATTTCTTAAGTTTGAATGATAAGTCGTCGAGGCAAACATTATCAAAATATTGTACATATTTAATTTTTTTCTAACGGCTTTCCACAATATTTGTTATTTTGTGTACTTGGTCAGTTATTGCATGTTTTGGTTTTAAACCAAGCCGATGAAACCAATTTCTTATTTCCTATTATCGGCATCAGCCTCGTTAAGGACAATTTTTCATCAATTAGCATAGATTGATAGTCATATAGATTACTGTTCCTCATTCAAAGTTGTTCTGTTTTCGTGCGTTTATCACTTTTTTCAAAAATGGCAATTATGTTAACATCTCGGCAGTAATAAGGTCAAAACCTGGGGTTTTATTCGCTTTAAGCAATTTTTTTCTATAGAAAATTTCGTTTTCTATAAATAAAACCATAGTGTTTTCATCCATAGAAACACTACAATTCAGTTCATTTTGGTCAAAAAATTCTTTCCAATTGATCATCAAATAGTTCGGCTTTTTCCCTATTGGTTTTTGCTCATAATCTATCTGCTTTTTCAGTTCGCGGACTCGCTTAAACGCCATTTACGTCCAAATTTTCTTTTTTGTACTATTAAATCAGTTATAACCTATATTTTGAAAAATCTAAAATTTATATTTCTAATAACATCATGTTTGAAAACATTAGCTACTTTCTTATTAAGGGTTAATATACTAACGGAATAATCGGAATTCAAATTAAAATCATCTTCCAAATTTAAAAAATTTTAAGTTTTAATTATATTGAAAAAAGTCAAAAAGACTTTTTCATATCTAGTTACGGGATTTTGCTGGCATCAGTAGGCCAACAAGTCGGACTGACAGTAGAATAATAGGAACATTCCAACTCCCGAATAGCTTTTCTTAATTCTCTACCTATAGTTGCAGTTAATCTAGAGCCACAATCCAAATGTTAATCCTTATTCTTGCAGTAAGAATCTATATCATCCCGGGCATAGGAGATCTCTAAAAATATTTTTTTTAAATATTGCACCTTGGTGGACAATATACTGGATCAGCATTGAAGCTCTGCTTGCTAGACTCAATTTTAACTTTAACAACTTGAACCTTCTCCATTTTGGATTTTTTCATTAAGCATTATAGTTTCCTAAATCAAAATAGTACTACCTGCTCCTTAATGGTTATCAGGGTGAGTTGCTCTGTAGCATCTATAACCCAGAATAAATAAGTATACCATTCCTATTTTGGATTCAATAACAGCTTTAATTAATTCTCTATATTTATTTTCATCTTCAACATTTATATTTAGTTAGAAATTATTCATCATGTTTACCTTCACGTCAATACTTTCCTCTTTGAGAATTCTTATTTACTACGTGTAATTAGTTATATTACTCACTACTACCGGTGGAATCTGTTTTTTAAGTTGAGCATCTTTCCTTGGTGGCGACTTCTCTGCTTTCGTTATATTCATCTCTATTGCCGGTCCCTCTTCTGGTGAACAATTAGCTATTCTCTTTTTATATCCTGCACCTTCATAAAAAGTATATTATTTTTGGTATAGAGTTTGTAATCACTTGAAGGAGTCATCTGCAGTATGGACATATACATATATACAAAACAGGTTCGGTTACAAGAGCTACTAAAAAAGTTTTTTAGAATATAACTACATACAACTAAAAGAGTTTATTATTTCAAAAACTAATATTTCAAAAACTAATAAAGGTACAAATATGAGATTTTGTACAAGTATATCTAATTACATTCTACATATTCTCTAAAAATTTTAATGTGACAGCTGTACCGGTTCGGTGCAACCGGCTACCATGCAACTCCAAAAGCAAATTTCATAAATTCGGAAAAATAATAAAGCTAGATTTATAAAACTTATCCGTAAATTTTCGGTCTTAGGTTTGCAGAGTTCTTCAGAGGCGTAAAATGACAAGCAAATAATGTATAACGTATTTTTCGAAACATGAATGAGCTTACAAATAATGAGTTATGTATACTTTTAGTTAATTATCAAAATTACCTTTAGTTTTATGTACAGACATATATTAAAATTGCAATTTTGCCCAATACGACAATAATGTTAAAATTTTAAAAATTACAATTTTGTATTTACGTGATTTCTATTGCTAAATTTATAATAATCAAACTTACAATACGAGGCCGAGTCAATAAAAACTTTAATGGACTATGGTAGTTAAGCTTCTATTGATCCTATATACCTTTAAGCAAAATTGATATTATTATTATAAAAAGAAATACGTTATGTTTTTGAGTTATAGCATCACACTGATCTTGAGTTCAGGGAATGGAGTAGTTTCCCAAATAATCGAGTTGCTTCTTTAAGTCTAATTATAAAATTTTCTGCAGCCATTACATTATAATGAAATTAACATTTATAAATTTTTAGGATTTTCTTAACAAATCGTTTGTATTATCTTGTTGTGAAGCTGGAGTAAATTCAACTAACCATATTTCTGTATCAAGAAAGCTACTTGCTTCGGCCTTGGTACTGCATAGTGACGAACTAGTTCCTATACAAAAACTGAATGCTACTGATCTCGTTAATCCTGCTTGGAGCCATGTTGTGTTAGGAGCCAAAGATATGACATCGGGAGGTAGCAATAGTATGAATAATACAAAGGATGAAAAAAGTGGAACCAGCGTAGGAACGGCAGAACAAGGAAAAATTATTGGGTTAAAAATTGGCAATGGCAACCCCGAATACAACAAAAATGTATCAAATTGCAAAGGGCATATAAAGCACGTAAGTTAGCCTAATTTCTTTCACTTAAGCGCTATAAAACCAGAATAGTTAAAAAAAAATTTTTTTTTGTATTTTTCAAATTAAGTATTTCGATTCTACATTTATTGACATATATTTATATACCATTATTATATTGTAATATAATATTGTAATTGTGTTTATTTAATAGAATTTATTAGTATAATGGTAAAAATCGCTTGTACTTTCACGTTTTTAGATCCGAACTTATATTTTAGAGCCAGTTATTCAAATGAGTTGTCTTTTTGAAGCTACGTTATTATAGAGGATGTTTCCCATAAGGTGGCAAATAATTTAAGAGATGATTATTTGATAATCTGGATGGTAAGGGGGGTGGAGATTTTTTCATTTGCTACATTTTTTTACAACAGGCTGTAACTCGAAAACGAGTATATCTGCACTCTCCCATACAATTTTCGTAGAAATTGGTCAAAGAATCATCTCCGAAAATATTTGTCACCTTGTGTAAAACACCTTGTATATTCGTTAAATTCTATGGAAAAATAAGAAATATCAGCAGCAATAAGTACTGTATGCATTCTTCTCATATGCTTTGTTACTCATACAATCACTCAAATATTTGAATATTCCAACATTTTATCAAATGCATAATAAATACAGTACATAAGAAGTTATAATATTTGTTATTAAAGTATACAAGTTACGAGTATCTTAAAAACTTTTTAACAAATTTTTTAAAAATATTTGTGTACTAAAATATCATTGAAAAATGTTTAACTTCCAACAAAATACAAAAATAATACTCAATGTTTTATTTAAAAAAAATAAACGAGCAAAAAGTAACATCTTTTCCGCTGTGCGAGTTCTTATATAAAAATGAGTAATATAAAATATAAAGTATAAACGAAGCCTTGTTGTTGATTTACATGTCAAAAAAATATTTTGTTTTGTTCAATTCAGGGCTGCAGAGAATTTCTTGCTGAATGGTTGAGAAATACAGCTGATGTGTTATTTGTAATCGGATACTGCGTTATTACTTTTCTAAAATTGTCATTTTTAGGAATTTTAAGATATGAAATACGTGAAATGATCCAGAAAATTAGACTATTGCAAAATGAAACCACAGTTACAAATTCAGACCAAGAGATAAACCAAAATCAACTGACACAGGTACAGTAATTTATATTTGTTATTATAGCAAGTTAAGCAGCCTAAGCCAATGATCATAAGAATAAGAATAAGAATAAGAATAAGAATAAGAATAAGAATAAGAATAAGAATAAGAATAAGAATAAGAATAAGAATAAGAATAAGAATAAGAATAAGAATAAGAATAAGAATAAGAATAAGAATAAGAATAAGAATAAGAATAAGAATAAGAATAAGAATAAGAATAAGAATAAGAATAAGAATAAGAATAAGAATAAGAATAAGAATAAGAATAAGAATAAGAATAAGAATAAGAATAAGAATAAGAATAAGAATAAGAATAAGAATAAGAATAAGAATAAGAATAAGAATAAGAATAAGAATAAGAATAAGAATAAGAATAAAAATAGGGATATTTTATATTAGTAAGAATATGAGGATTCTAAACCGGAGGTGTCATTCTAGGGGTATGATACGATGTAATATGGTTGTTGTCTTGGGAAAAGGTAAGTGGAAGTGTCATCCAAAACGTATGCAATTATGAAAATGGTCGTTGTCTTGGATAAAAGTAAGCGGAAGGATTATGCTAGGGGTTTGCAATGAATAATATGGTTATTTTATTGAATAAAAGTATGCAATATTTAGAATAGGGTGTATTCAATATAAGTGGATGGATTGTTGTCTTGGTTAAAAGTAAGCTTTTTGAAGTATGCAATATTTAAAATGTATTATGCATTATGTAAAATGAAGTACGCAATACTTGTAGAGGTAGTGTTGTCTGGGTTAAAAGTACGTCAAATTTTAAGTTTTTAAAAAAGACAAATATTTTTTTTAAATTTAGAAAACTTGACGTAATATTTTAAAGTTTTTGTCTTGGGTAAAAGGTTTTAAATTTAAAAAAAGTTCTCGAAGCTTGAAAGGTATGGACTACGTTACGAGGCCTTTTTACTCCATAAAAACAAAAAGTTAGGTTTGGAATTAGTCTTTTTTTAGAATTTTAAAAGATAATTGTGTTATCAACATTATTATTAACATCATTTCTTGTTAATCTTCCTGAGAACAAAAGTCAGGTAATTGCTTCCTGAAAACAAAGTTTAGGTTTAGATTTAGTTTTTTAAAATTGATAACACAGCACCACGTTATGAGACGTAATTGCTTCCTGAAAGCGAAAAGTCAGGTTCAGAATTAGTTTTTAAAGAAAAAATAAAAAATTCAGTCGAGTTGTAGCAGCCATTATAGCACATCAGATTTTGAGACATTCCGGTAAGGAATTAAGAAAATAACAACATACCGACAGTTTAGCTTCCTGGAACTTGGAGTTTAATATCAAATTTTGGAGTTGTCAAAACAAAGAACTCGGAGGGGAAAAAAAGGAAACAGTAAAAATAGAATGTATGGAGTTTTACACTTATGTATATGTTAAAATAAAGAATTTAGGTATTCTTTTACAACTATAAATTGAAAAGATAAATTTTTTGAATTAAATTTTAATATTGAAAAATAAAAAATGTCTTTCAACGATTTTCAGTTTCTTTTTCCAGCTTTTTATTCTATTTTATTATTTTTATATTTAAGTTTTTAATATTGAAATAACAAAAAAAAAATTTCATTCCAATTACTTTTCTTCATGACTTTTCAGTTCCTCTCTTTTTCAAATTTTTTTTTGCATGCTTTATGGATTTGGGAAAACAATTTTTATTGTTTTAATAAAAACATTATAATTTATTTTTATTATGACATAATTAATTATTTTTATTTATGTCACATTATTATGACATAAATAAAAATATAATCATTTATTTTTAATATGTGTTACTGCTGATTGATGTTTGTAATATTCACTTCCCATTTTTATTAAATGTTTTGCTTGTTGATTGATCTGCTTTTTTAATATCTTGTTTCCACCCCTTTGTAGTATCAATTGATAGTGTTTGCTAAAATATCATTGTATATGTTACTCTTCTTTGAAAAATAATTTTTAATTTTGTCCATACTGATCTCGTTTTTAATATTGATAATCGTAAATAGAATAAATTTTCATTATATTCATTTTTTAAATACTAAAAAATTTATTAAATCAACAGTTTTATAAAGTAAACGTTTTCAAAAGCGCACATGCCAATATGCTTATTAGAATATCTCTTTAAACAATGAATATGCTGATTTTTTAAATTTTTTAAACTTGTTGAATCGCATTTGTCACTCAAATCCTATGTATTACTATGCTTTAAAATTTCATTAATCCTTTTCTTCGCCTTTCACATACATATATTATTACATTATTATTTATATAGATCTTTAAAAAACCGATGAAATGGCAAAAATGCGTTCGACCATCCGACCATCGAAATTCATGATGTTTTTTTGGTAGCCAATTATTTATATTTTTAGTTTTAGATGTAAGTATATGATATCCGTACCCAGGTTTTATAAGAAAATGCTGTATTTCATCATTTGATGAAAGGATAGCAATATCTTTTAATATAAATTTATTATTATTATCTCGGAGGCCCTGTATATCAATGATAACGAATTCCATTCTGAATTATATTCTCCAATTAAAGGTGTGAATTGAACTAATCGATCATGCAATATAAAACAATAAGCTGTAGTTTTTGTCGGCATTTTATCTGAAGTTTTCCATTCAATTTTAACATCATTCGGTCCCATCTTCAAGTTCTTACTTTGAAAGCGTGTACCCATTACAAATATTGCAGCTTATTCTTTAAATTTACTCCACGATAATAAAGGTTCTATTATATTGTAATTGTTATAACTGGATCGAAAATCGGTATAGGCGTCATAAGCAGTACTTTAATGGTTTTTATCAAATGATAAATTCATATCCTTATACGGGTTACATTCTGAGTTGAGGTAAACTCTTAAATCTTTTATTTTACGATGATCGATTTTTGAGGAATCCTTGTCAAGTTGATTTATTTTATTTGATTGAAGAGCGCAAATAATAAATCGTGTATTTTCTATTAGGTTATTGTTTTTTTAGGTTATTGTTTTTGCGTTCCAAATATGACGAGTGGTGTCTTGTGGTAAAGTAGGATACTCATATAATTCAAAATTTCTGAAAGCTAAAATCATTTTAGCATTATTTGTAATATGGGTGTATAAATTCAACTTACATGCATCCGCCAAATTTATATGCTGTACCTTCCATTGAACTTTAGGTAGTTGAATTGTTGGTGCTGTAGAAACTTTAGCGGGCTCAATGCAAGTTAAAGAATTATTATCAGTACGTGAACGTATTAAGAACAATTCACACTTTGCATTAGGTATAATGTTTTTATAATCTTCAGCAATTCTCAAAAGTTTCCGTAATGGAATGCAATAATTGAAAAATAAAGGTTTTGATTTAATTGATTTTTCAGGTGACCAGTCGGCATGAATGAGAGCTTGACTTTCATTTCTATTAAGTGAAATGTAATTTTTCAAACATGTTGTTATGGCTACATTTCGATTATTATCAATTTTTTTACCGTTTAATTCATATCGTATTTCATCAAATAAAAATGCTATTGCATTGTTGGTAAATTTTGTGCTTTAAGTTTCAGTTCTTGTAAGAGCTCTTGTATCAGCTTTTGTAAGAGTACCTTCAATATAAAGTAGAGAAATGCTAGTGGATGGTAAGATATTCAAATTTTAATTCTGTATTTTTGTTTTTTTTTTTCCTTCTTCACTCCTAGGAGGAGTATAGGGCTAGTGCATGATATCTATCATGCCCTAGTTGCTATAGTCATAGAAAGTCAGAGAGTTAGCTAGGTAGGTGACTAGCCTACCGTAGTTTTTATTTATATTAAATATTTCAGTTTATTTATATTTACTGTTTATTTTTCTTAGTCTTTAGAATGGGATATTATGAATATTTGAAAACTACTATATAATATTTATTAGTATTGCATATTAAGTTATATAATATTGAATATAATTTTTATAGTGACCTGACCGGGGTTTGAACCCGAGACCCTACGATCAAAGGGCCGGTGCCATAACCACTGCCCCAATGGTCAGGTATTCTGTATTTACATTCTTAGAATATGGCTTTTGTTAAATGAATTCAAAAAGAGTGAATATGTGTGCCACTGAGCAAAATGTTTACAATATTTCTAAATATAAACAAAATGTGATTATAATAGGATAGTACCATAGATAGTATCACTTTTCAATTACTCAGTTATACAAATTGTTTTGATAAAGCAAAAAAATATTTTGATAAAACAAAAGTATAAATACTGATTTCTTATTTTGAAAAACTATCAGTGTAAATAGTTTAATCCACAGTCAAGCTGAATTTATTTAAAAAAAAAAAACAAAAAGAAAACAAAAAAGGAAGAATCAACTATTTACCCCTTGGATTTTCTTTTGACTTATTATTCCAATATTTTTACACTACTAGAAGATTGCTTGGTAGAACATGGACATTTCAAAGTGAATGCTGAGTTATTAGCTGAATACTTCAAAATGAGTAAATATTATAACGACGTTCATAAGTCAACCAAATTATTTCAAACACAGATGGACATTAATCTTAAAAAAACAAGAACGCACGGAAGATTTCCAGAAGAAAGACAGTGAATGGACGTTTTCAAAAATTTTTGGTATACAACTAAGTATTAATGAGTATCAATCATTAAAAAGATCAGTATATATCAGACTTCCAGCAAAAATAGAAAATAAAAAAGCCTGCATCAATATGAAAAATTTTGATATTTACTGTTTTAAATGGGCTATAATATCAGCATTACAACCAGCTAAACAACATACATTAGCGAACCAAAAATAAAGCTACATCATGATTTGGTTCCGGTGATAAATTTTGATGGAATAGAATTTCCACTCAAATTTACACAATTAAAAACATTTGAAGAGCAAAATGCAACAATTAGCGTTAACGTTTTTGGATTAGAAAGTAATGAAATAGTAGACCTTATTATTTAGCCAAAAATAAAAAGAAACATCATATTAATTTACACTTTATTGAAACTGGAGAAAAATGCCATTTCGTATTG